CTTGAACTGCAACTACAAATCTTCATGAAAAATCAACCCCTATAACAGATTTTCATTTCATTTGTTTTTGGCTCTTTCATATATTTCAAAAATAAAGGGGAGATGCTAGAAAGTAAAGAAACCTAAAATCCCTCTTTTTCTTTAGAGTGAATACATAATTTGGTATTTTTCTAGTCTTCCAGTCCCTTTCTGTGAGATTTTTACTCAGGGGACATTTACTCTATCGACTAGAGTAATTGCTGAGCAGTTTGTGTCCCAGATTTTGCTGTAACTTTTCCACTTGGAAGAGGATTTTTTGCTCGAAGTGTGCTGTGCAAGCTGAGGTTGTGTAGCAAGGACGCATTAGAAAGATATAACATTCTCAGCTCTGTTTTGATGCCTTGTCAAGGGAGCAAAGTGGGTCCTTCGGTTAAACACTTTAGGAAAGGGGGCCCCTGGAGCAAAGCTGGGTCACCCACCACTCTCTTTAATGGATGTGTGTGCTGAGGTTTCAACTGTTTTCCTTTCTCTCTTTCCCTGTAATCAGTTTGATACAAAGAGGTGAATGTGGCTTAGTATCCCAGAGCCTTGATTACCTGTTATCTCTAGCTTGACTCAGCTTAATGGCACCAGCTGAATGAAACAGTAAGGACTACATTCATAATAACCTAGGTTTTTAAAATGTTCTATTCCCTAGTAAACTGCCTGGTGTTAAAGAAATACATACCCTAAGTTAAACTTTCCAACATGAATCATTTACACTTAACACAAATATTTATTTAATATAATTTATACCACACATATTGCTTTATTTTTCCTTCTGAAATCTAAAAAGTAAGAGCTCAACTTTTTAAGGTATTAGCAATTTATCGATTTAACTTGTAATAGAAAACTATTGGATCTATTTTTAGTCGTGCTTACCACTGAAATGTTCAATGTTAGAATGTCTTTAACTTGGCTTAGCAGTCTTTCTGTAGCACTGTATTTTAGCTTGTATTTTAGATTCTGTGAGCTATTGTAGTTCATGTGAGCATAGCCAAAGCTTATTTAGTTCATCACATATCCACCCTCTTCATTCCTTGTTGCTGTTTTGACCTTCTGTTGTATTACATTATCTGAGGAACACCCTTTAATATTTCTCTCAGTACAGATTTAAAGATTTTCTTAGTTTCTATTTATCTGAAAGTATGCTTGTTTTGCCTTTCTTTTAATAGATTATTTTGTCTACAGGTAAAATTTAAACTTAGTATTATTTTTGGCATGTAAATGATACTTTTGTCCTATATTCTGGATGCATTGGCTTTGAGGTATTTTTGTTTTTGTTTTTGTTTTCGTCTTTCTTTCTCTTTTTGGTACCAGGAATTGAATTCAGGGCCTTGCACTTGCCAGGCAGATGCTGTGTCTGCACTGCTGAGCTACATCCCGAGCCCTACCTGCTCTTCTTAATAAGTCAGCTCTCACCTTACTGGTGATGCTATGTTGGCACTGATGTTCTTTTCCTCAGATTGTATTCAAAATGTTCTTATTGACTTTGCCTTTTAAAGTTTTAGTATGATGTTCTTTGGTATGCTTTTCTGTGTATTTACCTTGAAACTCTTGTCAATTCTTGAATCTGTGGATTGACGTCTTACAGTTTTGCAAAATCTTGTCATTTTCTCTTGAAATATTGTTTCTCTCCTTTTTTCTCCCTCTTCGTGTGTTTTGAGTTATTATATACATAAGACCTACTCTTTGTGATAGAAATTTCCCTAATGTTCCTTTCTGAATATTCTACTCTCAAGGTAGAATATTCTGTCTGTAAAGGTGGATGTTTTCTACTGCCCTATACCCTGCTTGAGTCCAGACTCTGCCCCATCTGGTCTTAAGCACCAGTTATGAATTCTTCATTTGAATGATTCAATTTTTCAAATACAAATGTTTCTTTCATTCAGTGCTTTTTGTGAATAGCAATTTTCTTGTAAAATTCTGCTGCTTTTTTTCTAGTTTTGAACATGTGCACCAAGTGTATACAAGTAAATTAATGGATTCATTCATTTTTGAGACAAGGTCTCTCTTCCTTGCTTAAATTGGCCTTGAACTCTTGGGTCCAAGAGATTCCCTGCCTCAGCTTCCCCAGTATCTGGAACTATAGGTACGTACTACCACACTCGGCAAGGGTATTTTAAATTGTTTGATTGATAACTCTGATAGATGGATTTCCTCAATGCCTCTTACTTTCTCCTCTCTTTCTCCCATTTTCTGGCATCCTTTTTTGTTATTGAATCATGGATATTGCATTTGTAAGAAAAAATATAGAAGTTCTGGTGGCTTTTCCCCATGGCGAGCATTTCCTTTTCCATTAGGTTAACCTTTGGAGGCCTCAGCTGTGCAGCCTTTGAGTGAGCAGAAGTCATAAAGGGAAAAAAAGCAGGACTAAACCAAACTTTTCTCAGTTTTTCTGGATGCCCTGCTGACCCTCGGATTCTATCTACTTGAAAGAGCTAAAAACTTGACACCGTCTTTCCTCTTTGCCCATCGGTGTTTGCTCTGTTTTTCAGCTTTTCTCTGTGCCAGCTACTAACCCACAGATGCCTGGAGGGAGAAGAAACAGCAGGACTTGAGGTTCCTGCACTGTGTTATTCTGCTTAGGACCTCTGTCTTAGGACCTTGACCGTTCAGGTCCCAAACACCCCGACAGGGGTGCTGCTCCTCCACACAGCTTTTAGAAAAAATCACCCAGCTTTTCCAGTGCCTTTGGTAGGAGAACCGATCAGAGGCAAACTCAGAGCCAAAAGCAAAAATACTTGAAGATCTTTCTTTTGCATGTTGATTAGTAAACACAAATCCACGAATGTGTTCTCTATCTGAATTGATTGCTTCCCCTCTCATATTTTTAAAACTCCTTTTGGGTTTACAGAAGCATTCCATAGATTTATTGTCAAATTTATTAGTCTTTTTTTAAGACTTCAATGAAAAATAGTGCCCTTTTATCTATTGTGGTTTTTTGCTTGATTTCTTTCATTTAAATTTAATTTTAAAATTTATTAAAATTTAATTTGGGGGCATGGAACGTTATAAAATTCTTAGTTGTTTCTCAATTATTTAACAACCAGATGCGGAGTAAAATGTTTTCCCCTCTTGCTGCTTTGGAATTGCACTTTTTCCATACAGGAAATACAGTGTTTTAGACAGTCTGGCTCCTCTCTGAGTGCTCGGTAATCTGTGTTTGCATCTCCTATCTGTTTTATGACTGAGCTTTAGCAAATTATTGTACACCTTAGCACCTGAGTACTTTGTCAATGCCCTCTTCACCAGTTTTAAACCCATGACTTCCTTCATGAAGTCTTTGCCTGTGTGTCAGAAGTGGCTCCTACTTGGGTTAAGCAGCAGCACTGGAAATACTCAGTACAGAGGTGTGGAGTTCTCCATCAATGTGGCTTAAAGGATTTGGAGGCTGGAGCAAAGTTGGTGTCTCACAGGACTCTAACCTTCTGGTCTGGGAAACTGAGAGAACAGTAGTGTCATTAACTAACACTGGATAGGCAAGGGAGACAGGTTTTAGGGATGAGAACAGAGGGGGAGAGCCATTTGTCACAAGAACAGAAGCAGTGCTAGCAATTGTCAAAGAATGGGGACACTATGAAATCTTACCACCACCGGCTAGTAGGATAGAAAGTTGAGTTGGAGAATTTTATTTACAATTATGTGAAATACAGTTTGGATGAGATAGCAAACAAGATTCACTGTGGCACTAGTTCTAATGAATGCTTGGTTTTTAAGGAGTGGACCACGGTGGCCCTTTCTATAATTCAGTCTTGGGAAATATGGGAAAAGAGCCCTGAGTCCAGGTTACAAGAGAGTATGCAGCTTTTGGCTTCTTTGTGCACCCAAACCAGTTTTCCTTTATTTATCCTGATAAAGTTCAGAAAATATCACTTTCAATTGTGTACTCTAGTTCTAAAATACTACTAGAAATAAATACAAAGAGCAGAGAGAAGGAAGATTTTTAAGGAGCTGCTTTTCATAAGGCTGTCTCATCTGTTTCAACAGCAGGCATTTTAAATGCTAGAGTTAGGCCACAAGACCAGACTTGTAGAATTTTGGTCTTGGAAGAAATGTACTACTTACTTCACTTAATAAATGAGACCAAGGATGACGGGAGAAGACCAGGGTAAAGCTAGCCCGTAAATCAAAAGCAGAGCCGAGCCCAGAAAACCCTGGTTTCCTAACAACTGATCTAAATATTTTCCATCACAGTGTGGACCTTAGCAAATTCACATGGCTTACTCTATTAATTACTGCATCACTTGGCATTTTGTATCCCTCCCCCACCCTCTTCTAAGGCTCAGCAAATTTTTCACTCTGCAAGAATAAAAAGTGGTTTCGATACTCTCTCCAGAGCATCAGATTGCCAAAATGAGCTGACACAGAGCACTTTTGGAAACAAATTTCATATAAAAGCACAACATATGCAAATAAGGCACAGAGCCAAACTTTGAGAGGGACTGGAGAGATCATGAATTTGTGGGGTGCCATTTTTAAGATGAGACTTTAGCCCTCTACTGCTTCTCCTTCCCTGGTGAACAAACCATGCATAGTGAACCCCCAGTCCTGCCACAGCTGTGGGGTGCCCACCTGGACCACTAAAACCCAAAGTGAACTACTCACCAATTCTCATTTTTCGGGCAGCCACTCTCACCCCACCCCCATCCTGTTCTACTTCAGTGTCAGAAGGAAATAAAGCCACAAGGAGAACAAAAAGAGTGGTAATGCAACGGAAATTTAGAACTTTAAGCTCCCCCGTCCTGACAAACGCAAGAAGGCCACAAGATAAACTCATCCTGTACAAAATGTACCAAAATCCAGATCAAGCTAGCTGCACCCCTGGTGCTGTCTGTATTTCCCAGGCTTAAAATCCCATCCCATTCCCGCCAAACTGTCCCAAGAGCAGGCTGCTTGGTAACCGATCACTAAGGCTTCTGTCCTAAACTCTAAGGCTCTCTGCTTCTGCACTTCCTGCTTACAAACCCTATATAAACCCCAGCCCGACTGCAGCTCCGGGCTGACGCTTGAGGAAATGATCCCTGTGGGCAGCCCACTGCCGTGGGGCAGGTGTGTCCTCCTACTGCTGGGTGCAAGGCATCTTCCTTTTGGTTGGACACCAGCTCTGCAACAGTGACACCTTTTGCCTCCTGCCTCTTCCTTTTCGCTCTCCACTGCCCTCTACACAGAGGGCTGCCAAAGCCTGGTTTGGCTGTGGCGAGACATCCGCCTGCCCAAGGGAGGAATTATGAGCAAGGACCACAGCTGCAGACAAGCAGTGACACCCAGAAGCCACGCGTTATTGTAAGGACCAAGGCTCCACATCAGCCAAGCCAGAGCGATGGCATTATCACTGGAAGAATTTGTGCAGTCCCTTGACATCAGGACCCTGCCCAGGGTCCTAGAGATCCAGTCAGGCATCTATTTTGAAGGTAAGCTCTCTCTGAGTCGTTTGCTGGCTAGAGAATACAGTCCTTTGGAGGCCTACGCACCTGGGAATCCGTGGGGGGATTTTAATAGAGTATGAGTTCTGTAAAGAAAAGATAGTCATGAAGAAAAAAAGTATTAACTGAGGAATGATCAAGACCCGAGAGTGCTGAGAGGGGAACTAGGTAAGGTCTCTGTGCGTGGGGCAGGAGAGAAGGGCTGTGTGAAACTTGCTGAGATTTCACGAAGTATTCAGTCCCTCACGTGGATCGTCAATTACTTCTGCATGGTTTTTGCAACCAGTTGTAATCAAGAGCAAGAAGTATTCACATTTGTTTCTAAAATACTAAAAGGTCTTTTTTGTAAAAGCAAAGCAACCCTCAAAAGCACACGATGTCTAAGGCAGTGCTCCCCACGGTTTTAACTGCACCTAAAAGTTGCTTAAACCAAAGCTTCTCTTACTCCTTTTGCAGTGGCCTAAGCCTTAATTATTTAAGTAATGGCAGTTTTAATTTGAAAGTCTGCTGCTAGCAGATGGCATATGACTTAATCCCAACTCTTTTGGAGGCTGAGGCAGGAGGATCATGGTATTGGGACCAATGCAAATTTCAAAAATGAGTAAAACCAAAAACTAATGCCTATTCATCACAAGGAAATTTTTAAAAATCTATGTTGAAAAATCTTAGCTCAATTAAAATTATTGAATAATTGGTAAATTTTGGTGTAATTCAGGTAAGAGATCTTTAAAAACTCCAACATGTGACCTAGAATCTTTAAGTGCATAATTGAATATGCATTAGTAGAAAGAGAGGTTATATTCTAAACAATTTTACCTTTTTACTGGAAGAAGGGTAGAATTAAAGTGATGGTAGAATCAGATCTAGGCAGGTACAGAAAAATAATTGAAGAAGTTTTGGTAGGTGAATCTTTCTCGTTTACTGACAGCCCTGTTTATTCATATTAGTGTGAAAGTGGGCTTGTCTCTCAATAAATTGCACGCTAAAAACTGCCTTTTAAAATGGGCTTATCGCTAGTGATTTTGCCCAGCTGAACACCAAGTCTTTGAGTATGTTTCAGGTAGGCAAGACTAAGCCATGATACTTGGTAGGTCAGATGCCTTCAGCATATTCTACACTCATGATATTTTCAAACTACAGTAAGTTTATCTGGACATCATCTGACCATAAATCACGATGTATTTATTAGGCCTTATGAAATAAAGGGAAGATTGACAATATCAGCTCCGGGTTTTATGTGCACCTGTACGCATATGGATGCATACTCTCCTGGTCCCTGAAAAGTTAGGAATTGGTACAGGCTGTCATGGGACTATTATAGCACTTCATTTAATTCTTTTGTGAGCTGCTCATTGGGAACCAGATCATCTCTTGCTATGCAGACTATATGGCTTTGCTTCTAAGTGTTGTCTCATGATTTATGCTTTAAGACTTTGTTCAAAAAGTCTATGTCTAGAAAAATATATTATTTTTATCAGTGTTAATTTTATATTCCACAGTTGATTTTTAGTCTACTTGGAGGACATTTTCCTACAGGGCATACACAGCCCTAACCTTTCTGTTCTCTGTGTGTTGAAAGTGACCTCCAGGCACCATCTCCTAAGCTGCCCATCTTTTCCCATTGATTTGCATGGACACCACTAATCATATATTGTGCTCACAAGTGTATCGGTGCCCTTCAAACATCTCTTCTTTCTACTCGTGTAGTGTTTCCTAACAGTGTATTTGTAATGATGATTCTTAAATCAGTGTAGAGACTGACAGCTATTCATAAACATTTCAAATGTACATATGTATTTAAAAATCAATTGATTTCATAAGAAAGTAGACAAAAATTTTCATTGGATTAAATGGTTTTACATATCAACTTGGGAAGAAATTACATTTTTGTATTATTCAATGGCGCATGTGTTCAGACCATCTTCTCATGCTTTAATAGTGTACTACTTTGTTATAACTGAGACAAGTTTTCACATGTTAAGTACATCCGTGTAACTACCACTCTAGTCAAGGATCAAAGAACTACGAATGTTCTAGAAGCCCCATCTTGAGCTCTTCTTCAGTTGTTAGCCAGGTGCCCTAAATTACCTGCTGCTATGAATTTCGTCTATTGATAAATTTTATATAGGTGGAAAGTTATTGGCTGTATCCTTTCATAGCTGGCATAAATGTTTAGCATATTTGTGAAACTAAGCATTGTCCCTCATAGTTTATTTATTTTGGTATATATCATTTTCTTTTGGGTACTACAATTTACCTATTCTTCTGCTATAAGGGGCATTTGGATTATGTCCAGTTGAAACTTGTCACCAGTAATGTTGTCAGGAACATTGTTTGAGATGCATTCTTTCATGTGTATGTATTCATTTGGGTAATGAAAGATGAGCTTTAAATTCTAATTAATCTGTATGCCTGGTAACAACATTAAGTCTTTTTGATCATTCTAGTCAGAGTATAATTGAAGTGCATGGTTCTAGTTTTTATATGCTTTTTGACTATGTGGAAGTTTTCTTTATAGTATTCTTCATAGCTCTTGTTCATTTCTATTAGATTTTATAAATTTTTAGTAGTGATTGGATGAAATACATATAAAGTTGACCCTTTTCTGGTTACATGCATTGCAAATATCCTCTGTGTGTGCATCTTGACATTATATTTTCTTCTTTATAATTGTAATTATTAGTATTTATTCATTGCAGAGATTTCTGTGTTTCACTGTAGCATCTACACACATGCATACAACATGCTTTAATCACATCCTCCTCCTTTCTTTAAGTGTTGCCCCTCTCATTATTTAATAGCATCTTTTGATGTGGGGAGGTTTTTAATTTTAGTATTTTGCATAGTTAATTCATAATTAAGTTCCTTTTGTGTGTCATCAAGCAAATATTTCTTGATGCTAAATTTATAAAAATATTCAATATTATCTTCTAGAAATTCTATTATTTACTTTTACCATCAGATCTACAATCTATCAGGAATATATATATATATATATATATATATATATATATATATATAGTATTTGGCTTGAAACCCGAGGCACAGATTTATTTTTTTCTTACGTAGAGTCACTGCTGGCCCAGTGACTTCATGAAGATATCTTTTTCTAGTGCTCTGTTGTGTTGCCTCAGTCCTGAATAGCACACTCGCATTTCTGGGTCTCTTCTGGAAGCTTCTGTGTTCCAGTCCTCCAGTTCCTGCTTATTGTTGCTGCTGTTACTGGTGCTGTTGTATTAGGGACAACACTAAGGGGCCTTGCATGTGCTAGTTAAGTGCTTCAGCGCAGCCCCGTTTAAAGTTTATTTTCAGACAGGGTCTGACTAAATCACTCAAGGTGTCTTCAAACTCGCCATCCTCCTGCATCAGCCTCCTGCTAGCTGGGATTACAGGTGTGCGCCACTGTACGAGCTTAATTGCTATCTTTGCACAAAATCATTCCTGTGGTAATTAATGCTAATTTGCAACAATATGTAACATTTAATTTGTACTATGTTCGATATAATAATATGCAACAGAGCTTGGGTCTCAAACTTGATTGCACATCTGAAACACCTGAGATATTTGTAAAATATAGATGCCTGTGTATCTCCTTAAAGGATAAAGATCTAATTTTATAAAAAGGAGGTGTCATCATCAGCTTTCTGAAAGTCTCACAGATGATTTTAAAATGCAGCTGAATTTGAGGACGACTACCATAAAATAAGCTCTCCAATGCATTCTTCTTCTTCTTCAAGTTTTGCTCTTTGAATTTTCATACACATTTCAAAATTAACTTATCAGTTTCCACAGCACTCCTCCTGGAATTCTGATTAGCAGTGCACTGGTTTGCAAAAAATTAACATCATTTTAAATTAAGTCTTCTGATCCGTGAACTGGGTATCACTCTCTAGTTGTATAAGTAGATTTTTTTCCCCCATTTCTGTGAGCACTGTCTTAGAATTTTTAGAAAGATCTTGTCCTTTTTTCAGATTTACTTGACTTTTTATGCCATTAGTAGTGTTACCTTTTTGCTTCTAATTTTTCTGTTGTATCTGTTGTGTGTTAAGGATGTCTTTGGGTCACCTTCTATAATATACACTCATTTTGTCTGTGCATATTGATGGATTTTATTTATTTTTTCTAATGATTGTAGTTTTTTTTTTTTGTTCTGGTAAAACATTGGTGATTGCTATCAGTGTAATATTAGCACTAAAAATTCTCAGTAATTCATTATTAAATATGTTCATTCTAGAGTAAAGAAGTTTCTAATATTAAAATGCTTTGAATTATGACTTCAGTTTTTTAAACAGTAAAAGCTTCCTATTCATACAGTTAATTTTTTATTTAAAAAACTAAAATCTTCTGCAGTATTTGCTAGAGTTCTGAAAGAATCTCTACACTTGTTCCTAGAATGTACTTACAGACAAATACAAGTATGTGTATTGTTGTACTTATCTGGGAGCATGTTCTTTTACTAACTGGATAACACTCAAGTAGAGAAAGGCAATACTTTATTGTCAGCATTATTTATAAGTTAACTATTTTATTGGCTTTTTAAGTAGATGTTGATATCACTAGAAATTCTCAAGAGTTGTGCTTATTAATATGAATTTTGGTATTTTTCGTACCTTTGTACTCTAGACCAGTGCTTCTAGTACTAAGCTAAGCAATTGTAGAAATCACGTACATTCCTAAAGTGTAAGGAAAATTACTTTCTTAAGTTCTGTTCTTTTAAGTGTACTATTTTACAAGTATTCTTGGAATACAATACAGGTGTTTGCAATTATACTTAGGATTTTTGTGCTTAATAGTACTTAAAACAAATCAATATACTTTATCTGCTTTAAATCTAAGATAATATTAGTTTTCTGAAATGAGTTACATACATTTTGTTGTTTTCTACTTTTTGAGCTAATTTCTAAACATTGATCCTGAGTTCTTCCTTAAAATTTGGTGGAACTCAGTTGTAAGGTGCAGTGAACAATGCATGTTTTGGAGAGAAAGCA